ATATATAGAGTTTGACAGAACTAGATGAATTGTTTATCATGAATTTAGCATCACATTATTTTCATCAGTTTCCATGAACAGTGTTGTGTTTTTTGTCAGATGACTATTTTTCATGCAGCATGGAAGTCATTTGATATTACAGCATACAGGCTGTCTCACTGCTTTAATGTATGTATCTGAACTCCTGCAAATTGTGTGACGTGGAGGTCTCGAGTTCAGGAGCTGTTTCTGCATCAACTAACTGGGATAACGGGGGTTTGTGGGTTGGTTCCATGACTGGAATATGGATATAGATTTCTATAGTTTGGGCAGGGAAAAAAAAGTGAAGAAGAAAGGAGGCAGCATTGCCTTGTATATGGCAGGTGCAGTAAAACCTGTTTAATCCATCACTTCCAAGGCAGTGGTAATTACAACTAATTATCGATGAGCACTTTTCTCTCTTTTTCATGCCATGTGGAGGCATTGTTTGTCATTTGTAATGAAGAACAAAACTTGGAGTGCACTTTGTGGCCCTGGGAGGAGGACTGTCACATGCAAGTCCCAGGAAGTGATTCACTGCTTCCATTCAGCCTTTGGGGAGGGCTCGTGTGGACCATATTGACCAGTGTCCGTATTTTGTGAACTTCTGCAAATTGTGTGAAGTGCAGTCCTCTAGCGCAAGAGAGACTCCTGCATCACGTCCTAACTGGGAGAGCAGGGATTTGGGGGTTGGTTCCCATGAGTGGAATATGGATATAGATTTTTATACTTTGTGCAGAAAAAAAAAGTGCATTGCCTTGTATATGGTGCAGTAAAACCAGGTTAATCCATCTCTCCCAAGGGAGTGGTAATTACAACTAATTATGCATGAGTACTTATCTCTATTTTTCATGAGGTATGTTTCATGCCATATGGAGACACTCTTGTCATTTGTAGTGAAGAAAAAAACTTGGAGTGCACTTTGTGGACCTGGAAAGAGGACTGTCACATGCAAGTCCCAGGAAGTGATTCATTGCCTCCAGTCAGGATTTGGGGAGGCCTCATGTGGACCATATGTGGTCCATATTTCCAGGAAAGGGGGATTAATTGGATAGTGGAGAACAATTAACCAAAGCTGGAGGTTTAGGTAGGCTGACCATATGGGAATCCAAGAAATTAGGGTATCATCTTGGAAATCCCCCTCTTTCCTGCCATACTCTCATAAGTCGGCAGGGATGGGGATGAACGTAGTGCCCCCGGTGGGTGGGGGAGGGGGCACAACTGCGTGGTGGCGGGAGCACAGCAGCAGTGGTGGCAGCGGCACGAACCCAGTGGCAGGAAGCACAGAGCTCCTGAGGAGCTCCTGTATGTGTATTTAAGATGCGGGTTTGGCATTCGTGAGTATTTGAAACCGCAAATGCTGAACCCACGAATAGCGAGGGTTTCCTGTATTAGTACAATCAGGCCTTTTGTGTCATAACAGTCAGAGAATGTCAGATCTGTGAAACTCTGCTGTAGCGCTGTTGTGGTCTTCTGAAATTTTAGTCACTGAGCTCAGTCAAGAGAAGGGAAATGTCAACCAGCTGCCAACATCCTACCCAAGCCAGATGCCGTGCCTCCCAGGAACTCCAGAGGAACAGCCTCATGATACAGGTAAATGATGGGACAGCAGGAGCATTCAAGTAAGACCCAGATCTATCTCAGGGGTGTCCTTGTTTTGCCTCCACTCTGAAACATGTTGACCTTGAATAAGGGATAGAACCAGAGAGAAGCAGGGTGGAAAGCAACCTCCTTAGGTCATCTATTCCAGTAGCCTGCCTGTGGCAGGATCATCCTATCTAAAGTATCCTATACAAACCCCTCGTCAAAAGTACACATTCAACCCTCACACAACCACTAGGCATAAAACTCTAACTAGCTGCAGATAAAGTAGGAGGAGGCATCCAACATCTTGCTTCTCTAAAGGTTGTTAATACATGCTCAATAGATCCCAAGAAGAGGGCCTTGCCCCCAACTACAGAGGAAAGCAACTCCCACCCTCCCGCCACAGACCATAACAGCTTTCCTTTCTGCCCCCAGATATGGTGATTGATCTGACTCTGAGAGGAGGGGCGGGATCCTGTATCCAGGAACCTCCAGCTTTAAGTCCCAGGAAGACCCCTGGCACACTCCAATCAAAATCCTCAGCCTTGGTTGTAGCCAACAGCCAATGCCTCTGAGGAAAGCATAAAAACCCTGACTCATAGAGAAAGCAGGGGTGTGGAGCACTAGAGAAATTCCCTCCCAGCCCCACGGGTGGATTGTTATGGGGTTTGTGTAGGGTTGTAGGTGTGTGTGTCTGTGAATGTGGGGATCTGGGGCATGGGGGAGGGTGTGTGGGTATGTTTGGATGTAGGTTGGTGGGAATCGGGGGTTGTGGAACATGTTTGGGGGGATGTGTGTGTGTGTGGAGGGGGCTTCTGGAGGTGTGCAAGGGAAGGGTGGCTGGGGGTTGTGGGGTGGGCGCATGTGTGTGGTGGGGTGTGTGCAGATAGCAATGAGTGGGGCTCCTTCCAGAGGAATGTGGATGTGTGTGTGCGGAGGGTACATGTGGGCAGGGGAGTGGGTAGATGGTGTTTGTTAGGTTTGTGATTGTGCGTGGTTGTGGGTTTTGCTGGGGAGGGTTTGTGGGTATGGTGGGGTATGCATGGCAGCGCCCCCGCGTACACCCCCACTGAGCCGGTGAGCATCTGCCTTTACCTCACAACCACCTGG